AGAGAAACCGACAGTTACTTATATAGCTATTGAGTTTCCTGAACGGATTCCGCCGAGGATAGCATTGTTGCTATTTGCAACTCTTTGCACATCTTCATCACCATTACATAGTCTAAATATATATAACTCAAAGGTGACTGACTGACGTAGTGATCTATCAACGCACAGCCCAAACCACTGGACGGATCGAGCTGAAATTTGGCATGCAGGTAGATGTTATGACGTAGGCATCCGCTAAGAAATAATTTTGATTAATACTAACCCCAAGGGGATAAAATAGGGGATGAAAGTTTGTATAAATCTTCTTAGATATTCTACTGAATGAACTGAAATTAAAGATTGGAGCTGCTATGATGAAGACGTTCGCTTCAATAGGATTTTGGTAAATTCAACCCCCATGGGGATAAAATGAGGGATGATTCAGGATGTAAATGTATTAGTTAGAACCTATCAGTAGTTAATGGAACGAATAAATTAAGACGAACAAAATAATTTTTAGTTCTTTAGGCTACTTTTATTTTAGAAAAATAAAGTTAAATTCCACGCGGACAAAGTCGCGGGAATAGCTATTATAAAATAAAGTCGCTGTCGCTGTCTGTCCCTATGTATGCTTTAATCTTTAAAACTACGCAACGGATTATAAAGCGGTTTTTTTTAAATAGATAAAGTGATTTTAGAGGAAGGTTTATATATATAATATATGCATGTACACCCGGGCAGGTAACTAGTTATATATATAAAAATGAATTGCTGTTCGTTAGTCTCGCTCAAACGATTTGACTAATTTTAGTCTTGAAATATTCGTGGAAGTCCAGGGAAGGTTTAAACGGTGAGAAAATATGAAGAAATTGCATGTAAAATAGTAAAAACAACAATTATATTTTCGCATACAAACTACTGATACCTGTCAAACAGGGTGAGTTCAGAAATATATTGCGTAACTAAATTTCAAAAAACCTTTCACATATTTAATTTTGAGGCGGAATCGAGTTAGTGGGGTCAGCTAGTTTTTGTATATTTATGTTTCTATCAATTTTAAATGTTCTTTTAGAATTATCATATCTTTTTATGGTCATTTTTTGCCTTACAACCATTTGTACACGTATCTTCATTATAAGTATTTACCATTTTATCCATTGTTTGATTTATGTCAAATTTAAAAAATTCAAAATATCTTTATTCATATAGGTCTATTCCAGACTCTTATGATATATCAAATCTACCGTCAGTTCGAAATGATTTCGAGATGAGAAGAACTGACAAGAAACTCGGCTCGTATTCTTTTCAAATACATGTTGTACATGTTTACAATAATACACAGTCATTGAAATTCAAATTTGGAAGAATAGAGTGACCACCAGCATATGTTATTGCAAAAGGAAAAAGTCTAATCAGTGTTCGCAACCTGAACAGACCAGTCCCAACAAGCAGCACCCGTTCACGAGTATGACGGAATGATTTTCATTTCAAATTAATATTATACATGTCACGCATACAGTCCATTCATTCCATCGCCCACAAGTATATTTACTTATACTTATACTATATGCTGGATCAAAATAAAGTTAATATAGGAAGATTAAAACACGATAACGGGGCTTACACTGTTTCATGTTGATTTTACTCTGTTTCGAAGTGTTAAGAAAATATGGTCAATAAAAAACTTTGTAACCGTTTTGCCACGTCCAATTTACAAAGAGTCAATTTTATCAAAATACCTTTTTTTATATTACCCCGCCGGAGGGAGGGCGGGGCGGTGTGTGAGATTTGTACTCACCAAAAACCACACGGTGTACCTACGAGCGCCTATTTCGGAGCCAGGGGGTTTGCATGTGCATTTCTACCCCAGCTCCGACGGCGACGGCCCGCCCTGTAGATGTTGCAGGGCAGGCCCCATCTCGTTGTGGTTAGGGCGACCTATTTCGCCCTACTCCATTGCGGAGTCGTGTGGGTACACGTGCACACCTCGGGGCCACTGGATTGGGGGCACTAAAAGAACCCAAGGTTACGTGGTTATTCACAAGTCGCCATGACATATTAAGGCTGCCATGAGGTGACGGTCTATGTGTTCTACCATGCATCTTGCGCAGTGGTGGTAACTAGTTGTGCTGATTCAATGAGTTGCATAGGAGTGCATTGCATGGAACAAGGCGGATTCAAATTGATGACCCTGGTCCATGGTAACGATAACAGAGACGCCAAATCGCGAGATCCGTCCGCTGACAAAAGTGTCTGCATGTTCATTTCATATAAAGTTAATTGTAATTGTGAGTTTCGTTTGTTTAAACATGTACAGCATAAATACATTTTGTTTAATGTAATTTCAACGGCCTGTCTCATGGAAAGTGATAATAATCGTCCATATATATGAATTATTACACACGCACAAAATACCCTCCGATTGATCCTCCAGCCTGAGCCGAGGTTCGAACCCCTTTACGAGGGGAAATGCTGCAAACAGCACCGCCCACCTTTATGGAGGGGTGCAAGCGGATACTGTGGGATTCTTACCGACTAAAACACCCCAGTGTTTCAGTGACCGCCATTAACAGAACTCAGACGGTTGCTTTTGCATTTGTCCGAGATACGAGTCGCGAGAGTTGCCTTCGAATGTAGTTGCAGAAACAACAGACAAATCATTAACATTACATAGTATACAACAAAGTCACTGTCGCTGTCTGTCCGTCCCTATGTAGGCTTAAATCTTTAAAAGTACGCAACGGATTTTGAAGCAGTTTAATTTAATAGATAGAGTGATTCAAGGGGAAGGTTTATATATATAATACATGTACACCCGGGAGAAGCCGGGGCGAGTAGCTATTTAACTAATAAAAGAAAGCTTAACCCTAAATTCCAAAAACGAACCCTTCCCAATCTTAAGTATTGAACCTGGTTTGACTATTTTATTGGACACGTATGAAAAACGTTATAAAATCCCAGAGCAAGCGGTTGTTTGACCAGATATATTCCTGAAAAAACGGTTATTTCAATATTACAAACAGACACTTCAATTTTATTTATATATATAGATTACATCAGTAAAATGGAGAGATCGCGTAGTTTTGCACTATGTGGATAGTATGTATATATAACGTAACAACAGGCATGTAGAGTCGGGGTACTGGAAAATTGTAACAACCGCGAGTGACGAGCGTAGAGCGGCGCGGCGGCGTGCGGCGAGCGGCGTGCGGCGAGCGGCGAGCGGCGAGCGGCGACGGGCGCCACCCATAGGAGGCGTAGGCTTACACGCGCAATATACATCCAGGGGTGTCACCCGTTACATCTATACGAGCTAGTATCCTACATTGTTTTGCAGCACTAACATTTAAAATCAGTTCGCATTCGGTCATCAAGAACGCCGCACGTAGGTACTCATTTCAATCATTAATCAGTTGTATTTTAAGTTTCAATATACAGTTTTAATGTTTCTTTATAGATAGAATCTTTATAGTTTCGGTACAACTCGAACATTGGTCCTTCGAGCCGGATGTGTAGTTTGACTTCCACGCGGTTCCCCCTGGAATCCATCGTGATAAATTCATAATGAATTTATCATTTTGGGCTAACTGACCTGACCTCGTGCTCATCTTATCCTCCACTGGTGCCCTGCCAGCGTAAACCGTTAGCACAGGCGGGTGCACCATTTCATTATCATCGACTAAATAGACAGTGGGTTGTCAAATTAGTAGGGACAGTCGCATTTTTTATAATTTTTGTTCTTCAAGTGGTCTTGACTACGTTTTTAAGTGGTAAAAGTTTTTTGCTGATATGTTTTTATGTTCACCTTGTCTCTATAACTCAAATTCAAAGTGAATTTCAAGTGCTGAGAGATTTGTTTATTTTGGAAATATATTTTAATGACGGGAGAGACACACAGTCGTTCACACGTGTAAAAGTGAAACACGTAAATTATTCTTTTAAACAGTTCTTTAGTGGTTTTGTGAAATAATCAATACCTGTAAGTAAGTAATATTTTACTATAATTAAAATTAAAGTATTTTGGAGCGGATTTTAGAACAATTTTAATTTATTTTTATATTTTCAGCTTTGGCTATGGGTCGAGGGGTAGATTTGACTCCGAGAAAAAAATCCGAGGTTAAAACCCTTCTCCTACACACAAATCACTCTCAGAGGATGATAGCACAACTGGCCGGGATATCGAAATCTGTCAATAAAATAAAAATAAATTTAGATCAAAATCAGCCACTTTCGTCCAAAAGAAAAGGCAAATGTGGCAGAAAACGTATCACAACAACACGTTCCGATAGGAAAATTCGAGATATCTGCTTGCAAAACAGAAAGAAAAGTGCTGGATTTTTAACTCAGATAGTACAGGAATGTGGAATACGTGTTTCAAAAAGAACTGTACAGCGAAGGTTGGCAGAGGAAGGCCTGACAGGTCATCGTCCAGTTAAGAAACCCCGATTAACAGAGGAGATGAAAAAGAATTCTCCTGATATGAATCCCATGGAAAACTTGTGGGAAATTACCAAGGCGGAAATTGCTAAGGAAATCATAACTACCAAAGTAAAACTAATTGAAAAATTAATAAATGTATGGTTTCACAATCCCAAAATAAAAGAAAGTGCTAAACAGTGTATTGAAAGTATGCCGAGGCGGATTCAAGCACTGATAGAAGCAAAAGGAAATGTGACAAAATACTAATAATTTCCCATCGTCATTTTTATTATACTTGTTTATATTTTCTAGTTGTTCAAATATGAAATTATTATAGTCTAAATTCATTATAAGATATGTGTCTGATATTATTAAATATAATTATAGCCTAAAGTGACGTTTTTAATTAATTATAGACCAATGTTTTACAAAAAAATGAATATTTCGTGACTGTCCCTATTAATTTGGCAACCCACTGTATATATATATATATATATATATATATATATAAACAGTGTTGACAGCCCTGATTACCTACCGGCTGTAAGTGTGGGCGCGCTACGCAGGGCTGCCATTAGCTCGCGACACTGCACGCAGTCTACGCTGCGAAAGAGCGGCGGACTGGGAGTTGGTCCTCCACGCGTATTATAGCCGTTCGGGGCGCGAGCAACGGCCATGCTCACATACTAGTGGTTCAGTGGTTACACGGACGCAAACCAGTGTCGGATCTGAAGTGAATTTGTGTTTCTATTAAGGTAAAAATTCGTTTTTTCGAGAACATAATTGTAAGTGCACAGTTTTAGATGTTGTAATCACGGGAAATCTTTCGGTTGTGTTCATTGCTATTTTATAATTGACGCATATATTTATGGTTTTATTTTAGTAAGGATATGTGTTGAGAAGCCTTTTTGTTGGAACATTGTAAGTACCTACATGTATCTACTATATATGAACGAGTCTTCGGCACAATGAAACTACTTTTTACAGTACAGTATATTCCTCAACTACCTTTTGAATATCTACTTCAGATATTCACTTTGTTCTAAAATATTTACTTAGAAGGAGTACCTTATTATATGTATAACATAGTATATACATTAAAGACTATAATTAAAAAAAAAGTGAGTAATTTTTTTTTATATATGTGGAATGAAATACGACCCGACGGCCAACCTAATAGCGAGTGACAACCGTCACCAACACTCGAACAAATCATGACAAGCTTCCGTAGCATATGACTACGCCCCAATTCGAACCAAACTCGAAGCACTGTCACTCTAGAGGAAAAAAAAGAAGGAAACAGAAGTTTCTGTGCGATATCTCAAGCTATAATACATCCGAAACACCAGTAAATCTGTTTGGTAGCTGAAATAGTTGAGCCAGAGGGACGTATGTATAGGTAACAAAGTCCATTACTTTCGGCCTCAAGTTATATAAAACTAGCTGATCTTTCAAACGATGTCACGTCACAGATATCATTTCTGAATAGGACCGTCCTTCTAACCTAGGAGTATAAAAATAACGTACACTTTCTCTGATTCTCAGACCAATCAATTATTATTACCAAATATATATGAAATTTCATAAAACTCGGTAGACATTTTGTTATATTAAATATACAAAACTTACAAAGTCATGAGCACCCAGTCAAAACTGGAGACGGGCTAATGTAACCATTCAGGTTAACAAAATTTCTAGATTATCTCATTTATTTTTACTATATTATATTTATTAAAATATATAGATATATCATATATTTGTTCTTTTAAGTACTGCTAATAGCACTGCTATTACAAGGTGTATATATTATTATAATGCTATAAAAACTGTACTAATCTTAGGTATATATAAAATTATTGTGTCACAATGTTAGTTACCATACGCCTCTGAAACGGCTTGACCGATTTCTATGAAATTTTATATGCATATTCAGTAGGTCTGAGAATCGGCTACTATCTACTTACTGAATTGGATGGTAGGGAAAAAATTAAAATTATAATGTAAAAAATGTAACGTTCATAAGCGGCTAAAATGTTCTACATTAATAAATGATTTTTGAATTTGAATTTGCTCCCATTATTATGATTAGTCTAGACATTCCCCTAGACATCGTGTGATCATGGGCGTGGCGTATCATTTCAGATCAGTTCAGTTTTACGGTCATTTAGAGGACAAAACAAGTTTTGTCCTTTAAATGACTAACTAAACCTAATTAACCTAACCTTTATTGCACCTCAAAACAAAAATTTCAGAACAAAAAAAAAATTAAAATAGAAAATTTACAATGACTGATACAAAAGTCGGTCTTATTGCTAAGCAATTTCTTCCAGACTACCTTTGGGTGGATAGAGAAATAAAAATAAGAACAGGGTAGGTGGCGGACGTTAGAAACAAAAATCTTATATATAAAATTCTCGTGTCACAGTTTTCGTTCCCATACTCCTCCGAAACGGCTTGACCGATTCTCATGAAATTTTGTGAGCGTATTGAGTATGTCTGAGAATCGGCCAACATCTATTTTTCACCCCCCTAAATGTTAGGGGTAGTCCACCCCAAATTTTTATTTTTATTTTAAGGCAAAACAACGTTTGCCGGTACAGCTAGTAAATATATATAAATATATATACACATATATACATACATATACTTAATAGTGCACATACATTTGGAAAGAATGAAGGAGGATGGGACCATTAGTTATAAGAAAAATAAGAATTAAAGGCTTTGAAATTGGCTTTGAGTGAATGTAACTTCTAAGAAGTTAAGTTAGATGTGTTCAGTAGAGTGACGCTGTATGTCACACCGCACATCACTTGCAAGCTACAGATCCTGTCGCATATGGAATTCTATTATGATCTCTGAGCGGCAGCACCGTTACAGCTACATCCATTCAGAACCGTTTTGCAAAACTAACTGGCGGCTATACAGCTAAATTGGTGAACAAAAACATAAGTGATGTATAAAAATTATGGGAATTATGTACAGGTGTTGTTTCACATTAGTGACAAAAAAAAGAGTTTAATTGTTAGAAAATTATTATTTATAGTATTAATATTATATATAGATCAATATTATAAACTTATTGTTACGAATTAGGAATAATTATTTCGGTCAGATAGTTCTACAGTCCGGTAGGAAACTTCCCATTATTTTTGTTATATTTCTCATAGAAGTAAAGAGCATGAAAAACTTGGGTATAAAAAACATATAAAAACACCCTCTTATAAACTAGACCTATGTGACTGTTACTATTATTTTTAACTTTCGAAAAAAAAATATAAATGTTTTATCAAACACTTTACCAACATTAAAACTTGTAAATTGATAATTCATACTTAGTTATTTCTGAAAAGTATAATATGGACGAATTCATATTCCGTTAAAATTTTTTTTTTAATTTATTTATTTAAAACAGAAAACTGTGTACCCATTCACCGAAGAAACGATGACATTCACAGAAGTACAAAACTGTGTTGCGAATATCGACGCCCTCCACAGAGTTTATATAATTCCAAAATATATATGCTGTGACGTTACCCACATCACGTTTGTCTAATAAAATTTGCAATAGGTATATTTAAATTAACAAAATAAAAAAAAAAAATTAACTTACAAACTTATAAAAAAAAAATTACTGAAACGGCAACAGATTGCAGGAATAAGTGTACAATTGATAGAGTTAGTTATTTCTAAAAAAGTAAAAGATGGACGAACTCATATCAGAACCGTACTGTATTGTTTTTTTTTCGTTAAGAATTACAACCATTACTAAAACCGACAACAGATCCTCGAAATAGATGGAAAATTATGAAGATGAAAAAATAGGCATCCGCTAAGAAAGGATTTTGATTAATTCTACCCCCAAGGGGATAAAATAGAGTATGAAAGTTTGTATGAAACTTTGTCAATTTTAAACCGATCGGGCTTGCATGCATAAAGCTACTATAACGTAGGCATTCCCTAAGAAAGGATTTTGATAAATTCCACCCCTAAGGGGAAAAATTAACGCGAGCGAAGCCGCGAGCATAAGCTAGTATTTCATAAAGAGGGCGTGGAATACAGGCATTATTTTCGTCTACAATCTATTTTATATATCAAATACTGAATTCGTTTCTAAATTGTCACTTCTTTCTATTATTCCTATCGATTTCCCTTCCTGTCCCTAGTTAGTAGTGTTTCTTTGTATAATATAATTATTATAATACAATATATATATATATATATATATAACAACAACTCCCTGGTTTTCTGTATCGTCCACAGAGGGCCTGATGGTTTATGAAGTGGTTATTTTTAAACTTTCGTGTTTAATATACATTATTTATATTATTAACACGAAGAATTTTATGGCAAATAAAGGTACTTACCTCTCTCGACGTTTCGACTGCAAGGCTAGTGCAACCTGCACTAGCCGTGGTCGCGAGCTGACTGGAGTAACAGCGATCTCAATGTAGATAGGTGACAGCAGTTTTTTCATCTACCGTCACTAGATTGTTCAACGAAAGTTCCCGACATACAGCCCTCACGGTATCCGTACACTTATTGACTATTGTGTACGTACCTAGTCTAAACGTCGAGAGAGGTAAATACCTTTATTTGCCATAAAATTATTCGTGTTAAGACTCGGTTACTAAAATAAATAAGGTTTATGAAGTGGTTTATAAACTTGCAAATATGTCATAGGTACCTAATATTTTCAACGATTCAATTTTATATGTCATTGCGAAATTGTTATCTGTCCGTATCGGATTTACGTGAGATCAGATCGTTTATCTAATATACATTTATCATTTGAGAATTATATCAGACGTATTCAGTCGACAATCACTCAGTATTCAGTTTGAGTAATGGATGGTAGAAAATATAAATATATACTTGCAAATACAAGGGTACATGTTGAGTGCACAAAACCTCAAAATATTTATTGAAGGACTAATATACCCGTAATTAAAAAAGATTTAGTATTCAATTCAATTCCCAATTCAATTCACCCTTCCGTTTCCGATGTTTAATCACTATACTCAAGACACTCTCTTCAAAACGAACCAAAAAATTAAGTTATCACTGAGACTTATAAAATTATTCTGTATCAGTGCATATAAAGTGAGATTATTCAACATATAAAAGTAACGACGACGCACAATACCACTGCCTACAATCAACCCCCAATTAATCTATACTGCTTTTATAGAGCTGAAGAGTTTGTTTGTTTGTTTGTTTGAACGCGCTAATCTCAGGAAGTTACCGGTTCTATTTGAAAAATTTTTCTTGTGTTGGATAACTCATTTGTCGAGGAAAGCTTTAGGCTATATAACATTACGTTATGACCAATAGTAATATGCACCCTGGGAAGGTATGTGACATCTGAGATACAGTATAATTTTATACTAGTTCAGATGGCACAATTACACTTGTATGTTCAAATTATTGACTCTTATGTACAACTTAATTATGTAACACAACCTATAACTGCAATAAATATTATTATTATTATTATTAATAGGTGCGGAGCTGCAATGAAAAATATTAAATTAAACGCAGACGAATTTACGGCGAACTGCTAGTTCAGGATAAAAAGTATACGGTAGACCAATAAGAGCTGATATATATAAGAAATGAATTGGTATATAATCCCCAATTAATTCGGGGTAAACAGTATAAATTAGTTTAGTTTAGACCAATTTATCAAACTGTGTAATGGAGTTAATCGACAAAAACTGCAGTATCTCAAATTTTCTTCATATACTTACATACATGACGCCTTCAACAAAGTGTTTCTAAATTATTTTAACCCTCTACTATACTTTGTCTCTGAGGACGTTGCGATTTAATCACAAATTGATTGTAGTTCTCTCTACTGCTGCCGGTGTCCAACAGGTTCCATTATTGCAGGGCAACAACTGCTGAATGTACATTCCATATATTCTATATTCATATTATGGAATGCAAGTCATAAATAATTTTAACAATAATAATTTATTGTCAGACAATATACTCCATTTTGTTAGTAACAATTTCCGCCGTATGGCATCGAAACCAGTGATTTGCTCTTGCGCAATCATGTGTGACGCGCTGCAGTGGGGCAGCCCCAACAGTGCCCTAAACAGTACCGTATTTTAGGCAAATAATTAAAGTAACTGAAACCTACAGAATGAAATCCACAAGCCGGGTTTCTTATGGAACAGGCAGGAAGAATCGTCCCAGTATTTTCTTGTAACATATAAATTCAAATTCAAATTCAAAAATCATTTATTCATGTAAGACATTACCGCTTATGAACGTCAAATTATTTACATCAAATTTTATTTTTTTCACTACCGTCCAGTTCAGTATATAGATCTAATCGAGAAGAACTGGCAAGAAACTCAATTGAATTTTATTTTTTTTAAAAGCCAGTTTATTTACAATGTTTATTTATATAGGTGTCTATATCTATCTATGTAATTTTACTTTATCGACTTCCGTAATTTTTTGGTGCTTCATTTCTGAGAACTGTTTACTCCATTAGATAGTATACCGTCTACATGATCTCGAGAGGTGGACTGGACCATGTCAGTACCTAAGTCCTACATTTTCATCTGTTTTATTAATCTTTCATGGAAATATCATTCATTCATAATTTAAGAGCTGTGCTCTTGTCGGAGCTCCCGCCACCTTCCACGATCTTCCATCAGTCCTTTTAGCTGTTGATACGACACGACTCCAACTTTTTCTTTAACTTGCTTGATATAGCTGTGTCTCGGTCTTCCCCTTCCTCTCTTTCCATCTATTTTTCTTTCAATAATGTTATTAATTAGTTCGTCGTGTCGTATCAAGTGCCACAACATTTTTCCCGCCTATTCTCAATAATATCTATGATCTGTCTCTTTTCTTTAATCCTCTCAAGCACTTCTTCATTCCTTATTTTATCTTTCCAGCTAATTCTTTCTATTCTTCTCCAACACCACATTTCAAAGGCTTCCAGTTTGTCTCTTTCCTTTTGTGTCAATGTCCACGTCTCACAGGCATACAAGGCTATACTCTAGATGTAGGTCTTGATAAGTCGTTTCCGAGAGGACCTTGATATATTAGCTCTCAAAATATGTTTTTTATCATTAAACGCTCTTTTTGCAATAGCTATTCTATATATTATATTAAATCATGGAAATATAACTGTCATTATTCTATTCTTTAATTGTATACTCTAGACAGAGTGGTCGTGGCTTTCATGATGGTGGTGTATCAGTGGATTCTCTTCTGTTCTCTTTGGTGATAGCGCTCCTCGCAATTTGTCTCCATATGGTATGATTTTTGTTAGTATAAGAACACAGCAAAATGGACTGCTTCCACGCTTCATATAGAATAGAATAGAAAATGATTCAAATAATCTTAAAGCAGTTTGGAATAGTCATACTTTTTTTTTAATTTTCCGCTCATTCGGAATGCTGTCTCATCACAAGAAGAACGAGCAAGAAACTTGTGTGTTGCTCTTTTAAATAATCATTGTAAGTTTACATTTTCAATTCGAAACGTGCGAATACAAACCACCAACTAGCACTGATTTATTAGCTTCAGATATTAAGTACACGATAGGTTTAAATCAGTAGTGATTAGAGCAGACCGGTCCCTACAAGCAGCTCTCGTTCACGAGTATGACGTACGAACCAGCCAACACTGCGCTCGGACATATTTTAGGCAGTTCAATATATAATATACATACAATAGTATAGTAGTATTACATGAGTATGAAAAATCTTATCAAATCAAATCAAATCAAATCATTTATTCGCAGAATACAGTACTTGTAGGTGTATACAATATTGAATATAATGTCCAGTTTCAGCCTGCATACAGACGTGCAAATTTTTATATTTTTTTATATATTAATATATTTATGTCATTCTGATTAGTCTATAATTAAATTATTTACATGTCATTGGAATTATTGGCATATATAATTACTATAGATTATGCATTAAATTACTATATTCCATAAATTCTTTGACACTATAAAAACAATGTGCCAATAGCCATTTGGTTAAATTTAATTTGAAAGCTCGCTCGTTCAACAATGTTATATTGTCAGGCAAATATCTTAATCTTAATAATATTATAAACACGAAATGTATGTAATATTTTATTTCTCTCAATTGGGAATATCTATGGGACACAGTCACCTAGATACATAAAAATAATAATTGCATTTAACAATGTCTAGTAAGACCAATTCAATATTGTGTACTAAGAGCTGCTGTGTCTAAACTGCGTCACTCCACCTTACATTTTCCTATTGTCATTTAGTATATAAGATCAATGTTTTATGTACATTTTGGCCCCTCCGATCGATCCCCCCTCCAATCCGGGGACCAATGTTACGACGGCCTGAGCCGAGGTTCGAACCCCTAGTGTTCCTTCAGACTAAAGTCGTATCCGTCAGGTGGGAGTTGGCCTTCCGCCTCATAAGTCCTCCTTTGGTTTGGAGTGCTATTTGCACTCGCCCCCTATTGTCCGGTGAAGCTGTAAAGGCCAGCTGCAGTCAACAGCATAAAAAAAAAGTACAGTTTGTCAGTCAATTGTCACCTTTAATATACATCGTATCAACCGACAACATAGTATTATTACTCCTCAAAATTTATTAATCAACATTTTCGTATTGAATTCTTTTTTTCTCACATTTTTTTAGCTGTGTATGGATGGAGTTTTAATGAGTAATTGTTTGGATGGTTCTTTCCGTGACAAGGTCGCAATATCACATTGTTATACTATGTATTTTTAATTTAAAATGATTGTACTGAATCAGTATATGGAGTTGTATTGCAGTATCATTCTCTCTTCCCAGCTCTTTACCCTACATGGTGGTGAGGTCAGCTTTCCTTGTTTTTCTCCGCCACTTTTCCCTGACATCATATGAAATCATCATCATATGAAATAACCGTTTTTTACTACATGCATATGAATATAAATACGGTACATACACCAAAATAACAGTTTTTACAATTTTGTCTGTCTGTTTATCTGTTTGTTCCGGCTAATCTCTGAAATGTCTGGACCGATTTTGACGAGACTTTTATTGGCAGGTAGCTGATGTAATAAGGATTACTTAGGCTACTTTTATTTTTGAAAAATTCTCTAATTATCTTTTTTGTTAAATTCCACGCGGACGATGTCGCGGATACAGTTAGTTTCATATAAAATTCATTCAATAAGCTTTGGTTGTATGTATTTTGTGCAGTCCAAGTGTACAGCCGCGGCGCTCCGTGTAGGTATGCAGTCAAATATAAAGAGATCTATTAACACCACAAAATTGTTATCAAGCGATGTTGGACCCGCGTGGTTATCATATACCATCAGTATACTGAACAAACACCGCACCGGCAAAGTCATGCACCGCGGTGCTGTAAAACGAGAGCGGAAATACCTAGCCAACAACTTCACACCGACCCATTATGGACTCTAAACCGCTGAAATTTGAGGCTAAATTCGAAGTAGTTTTTGGAAATGATCGCGCGGAGCTTGAAAATTAACCTTATGGTGAGGAGTAAAAGTCCGCAATGCTGTAGTGGCGCCGGTGTTTGCTCGGGCTGCGCACACACCACGAGGCAGTCTTCCGCCGCGCGGCGCGGCGCGGCGCGGCGCGGTGACATGCTCTAAAATAAATAATTACCTATGTGCACAACAGTGAAAATAAATCTCACTATATAAAAAACATGATGTCTACCGGTTCTCATCGCGAGATAAAACTATCGATTGCTACGAGAGTATCATACTTTTAGAAACGGCTACAGTCTTCAACGAAGCATCCGATATATTTGTAGAATGTAACTGAGTGCTCGCTTTTGTCATAGCAGGATCTATATATTTAATCGCGACTTCAATTTACACTTACATAACAATGTGTCTTACATTGACGTAGTTACAATGAGATGTAGGCATAACGTAGAAAAATATCCATTTATTAATACACATAACAGTGCGAATGCCTTTTAATTTTAATCATCAATTACAAAATAAATCCGCGGGTTAATAAATAGAGATAGGATTTAGTATGAAGTGAGAAATTAAAGTCCATTGACTTTTAAACGAAGCAAACAGCGTTAGGCGCAGGGCGCAGGGCGCAGGGCGCGGGGCGCGGTCGCTGACGTGACACCACAGCGCCGGCGCCGTCTACAGACCCATATTTGTTTCCGAACCGACCTTTTCCGGTCTAACGCAGCCTTCCTAGACACTGTGTACAAGTCGTAGTAACTTAGAACAGAACATAAAACTTATTTCTTTAAAAGAATAATATTGTTTTGAACAGAAAATGGAGAACGTCGCATCGATGGTGCGTGGTGGAAACGAGGAGCAGCGGGAGGAGGAGACCGCGGCGGAGGCATTGCAATTAGTTAAAAATGAGGAGAGGATGGAGCAGGAGCAGCCGCCTTCCGAGGAGGGTGTCTCGGAGCCGGCAGCTGTAGGTCGGGAGCACTCGCCGCCGTCTCACTCCCAGTCAGTTATTACATCACGGCGAGCCATGCGCACTATTACAACAGCCGGACACATCACCACGGCCGAGTTAGTCAACGACGATAGCGTCAAAGACGAGCCCCCAGAGTCTCAATTGGAGCATGATCAGCACCATCTTCAACAATACGCTCCTAAGCTGGAAGAAGGCGAGCCTCGAGATGCGGTACAACAACATTACAAAGACGATAGACTACGATTAGCCGAAGCCGATTCAGAGGCTCGACACCATGCTTTTAAACAGGAAACTTACAGGGGTCTATCGTCGCCATCCGAAGTCGCCGATCGTTTACAACAACAGTACCCGCGTGCTCCACCCCAAAGAACTGATTACCGGCGTGGACTAGCTTTCCGTTACGGAGCGCCTCCTCATCACGTAGTCGTGGCACAGGAGGGCGAGCCCGATGAACATGCGCACGAAGCGTATCTCGCACATAAAGAAAAAGCAGAACAATTACAAGTATACGCAGCAGCACCCGATGGCGTTCCAGGCGGCGCGAGTGACGGTAGACAGTATGGAGCAGTGCTCAGCGATCAAGCAGCTGCTTCTAGTGCCTTGGAAATGATCCAAACAACATCATTAAGTAATCAGCAAGCGATCGGAGTGGCGTATCAACCAGTCAAATATGAAACGCGCAGTGACAGTGAGCCGCGACCCACTACATATGCTAGTTTACAACCAGTCACGTCTGTGCATGGTGGATATAGTGGATACGCGGGACAGAGTCCACAGTATGGGAGCTCAGGATACAGTACATATGCCAGTGGAGGCAAAGAATTGTTAACTTTATACGGGAATGGATCAGGCGGTGCTGGAGCTGGTCCACGCGGGGACGAGTCTCCGCCGGGTCAACTCATGTACCGGAGTGATCCTACACTATCTTCCTCTTCGCTGACTGCTCGCGGAACTCACGTCGTATATGGCTCTGTAGTACCACAGACGCAAGCAGTTTACGAGGCTCCACCTAGTCCAAATTCACAACAAGTAAGTAATCATAATAATAACGGTGACAATCCACATAGCGCCATTTAGCCCGAAGCTAGCCCTATAAATACTTAATACAGTTAAAAAACATCCAGACCAATTCAAACAATCATATTCGTGAATACAAATGTTTGCACCAATCAGTTGTGCCAATCGGCAGTAAGACGGTGTGCTAAACTAGACCACAAAGTAAAATTTTATTATTGATTTTGAATTAAATGGTGATTTAATTTATAACAATATCTGAAAAATGAAACAATACTTTATAATAAACCTTAAGTATAAATAAATCGACGTAGGTACTTCGGAAAATATTACTGATACAATCTAAAATTTATAAACGTAAGTAGTGATAAGAATATGAATGAGCATTGTATTAAAAGACATCGTCTTCTATAAAGCTAAATATAATAATATGTAATTTATGCATCAGGTAACGTTATATACACACGGTAACACGGTGCAATACAAAGTGGGAGGAGAGCACTACTTGACGCAGGGCGGCGGCGTGGAGTACGTGCCGGTGTCTGGCTACGAGGGCGGCCTGCTGGTTACGGAGGGGTACGCAGCCCCCGCGCAGACCTGGCCCGGGCACAACCTACTATCCATCGACGATGGCTTTGACCCCAGTAAGAACAACTACGTTCTTTCCTAACGACGTCTATTTGGAAATCAGATGAACTTTTTGTCATACCCTGTTTAAAAATTTCATTAACGAGAAAATGTGTCCCTAATCGAAATCGTGATATTGCAATAGATTATCTTAATCTTAATTATATTACATAAGCGAAAGTTTGTGAGTATGGATGTATGTTTGGTACTCATTCACTCAAAAAGTACTGAACGGATTTTGATGAAACCTTACAACAATATTGCTTATACACCAGAATAACATATAGGCTATAAATTTCAAGCAGGTGAAATTGCGGTACAGCTAGTAATTACACTAACCACAAATTAGACTTTGACATTGTGATTAAACACAGGACAAGTCAATTGTAAACCAATATAAATATATATTGGAACTGGAATGGCGAAAAAGCTGGAGACTCCTAATGGTAAGTGATAACTGTAGACTATATACAAAACAGCACCACGACTGTTATTATATAACGCCCGTGATACCTCATGCGTTGTCGTTCCGGGGGATAAAGCTTCACCCTTGAGCCAAAATGCATGCTGCTTCGCGGGTGATGGTGAGCAACCATTGAGCCAAAACACAAGCGTAAGACAGTGAGTTGACAGTGCGACAGTTGTCAAGCGAACAACTTTTCGCAAAGTTAATCTCGCTGAAGGATTTAGCAAAGTTGTTTTGTATGTTTGACTTGATGAACACTTTTTCAGACATGGCTGGTCTCGGCGAAATGAAGGAGTGCGTGAACTGCGCGGCGGGAACGACCCCGCTGTGGCGCCGCGACGGCACCGGCCACTACCTTTGCAACGCGTGCGGCCTCTATACCCGCATCAACGGCGTCAACCGACCACCGCTCAAGGGCCAGAAGACTAAACCACAACAAGCACTGGTATATATATCTCTTATATATTCAAATTGAAATTCAAAATATCTTTATTCATGTAGATCTATTACAGACTCTTATGATATGCCAAATATACCGATTGATGATTTCGAGATAACTGAATAGAAACTCAGCTCGTATTCTTTTCAAATAAATGTACATGTTTACAATAATACAGTAACATTTTAGATTCAAATTTGAGAGAATAGTGTGACCACCGGCATATACTATTGCAAAAGCAAAAAGTCTAATCAGTGTTCGTAACCTGAACAGACCATTCACCACAAGCAGCAGCCGTTCACGAGTATGACGGATTATATTTAATGGTATAAATACGTAGCTATGACTAACTTTACCCAAAATGTATATTGTCATTTATTGTTAAAATTATGAAATTGAAATGGCATATTAAGTGTATTCACACGGTCTTCATTAGAATGAAGACCGTGTCTTTTAGAAGACAAAAAGGATAAACCTAACGTATATGATTGAGATCTTTGGGGGAGGCCTATGTCCAGCAGTGGACATCTTCCAGGCTGCGATGATGATGATGATGATGATAGTATTGAGGTATATTTAAACTTAATTATTGTGGTGCTGATAGACAAAATAGTAATATTGAAGCAGTCTTTGGTAATTTGCCATATATGAGTAAGGTAATACGAAGAGAGTTAATAGTAATGAGACCGGTCCGTATGGATAATCAGTAATATTGGGCCCGTAACTAGTGGACTTAGTGTACTAATAATCTTTACTCAAATTAACTTAATATAAACACTTTTGGATAGTCACTTTTTTATTCTACTACTCATTCGGAACGCAGACTTTACAAGAAGAATGAGCAAGAAACTTGGCTAAAATGCTGATGATGCTTATGAATATGTTGGTGTCTTAGAAACTTCCAGAAACTAGTATAGTATAGTGCTAAATATTGAATGTATTGATTGTGTTCAGCCAACGAACGGTAACCGTCGTGTGGGGGTGACTTGCGCCAACTGTCGCACCGCCAACACCACGCTGTGGAGACGCAACAACAACGGGGAGCCGGTGTGCAACGCCTGCGGACTCTACTACAAGCTGCACAATGTAAGCAAACTACTGATGTATGACACATTTAGAAGAGAACGTTTGTGAGTCAAGTACGAAGTAGTTACTATTATATATATAATGGTATGTTGCACTTGCCTGCGCTAACGGTATACGCTGGCGGGGCACCAGTGGAGGATGATAAGATGAGCATGAGGTCAGGTCAGTTAGCCCATCGTGACAAATTCGCCAAGAATTTATCAAGATGGTTTCCAGGGGGAACCGCTCGGAGGTCACCCTGACATGGTACATTGCTATCTATGGGGTCATCAGTCCACATTACTAATGTAGGACTAGTCAAATCGTTGATCTGTACATAAAATATGGTAATTAAATATTTATATATTATAAATAGTTTGAAGATTTTAAAGAGAAGATGTCAGTATAAATAGCAGTTGGAATTCGTGATATGTCAATACTGGTAGTATTATATGATGACGTATATAGTGACACAGTAGATAGTGCTTAACTGTCGGTATCACGGTAGAACTATCGCGGTGATTGTGCATCGACCACGGTCGGCTCCGATTAGATGGCGAGCGACAAAGCGCCAGGTATCTAATCGCAGACCACTGCAAGCGCAGTTATCAGGGAACTCCTCGGTAAATATTGGGCCTGTATAAAAAATCAAAACACAGGGGTCTCATCTAATCTCGCGAGATAAAGCGCGGGGCTACCGACTGATAGAGAATTATCATCGCGCGACCACGAATATTCATAATGAGATAAATAATCTTTTATCAATTATCTCCTCGTGAGTAGATACGCTTGTTTAAAGGATGATAGGACCGCGTGGCGGCAGATTATGAGGAGTTTCCCCGCGTGAGTCGCGCACTCACGCCGACGTATGACGCGCGGCTCCGTTGCAGGTGAACAGGCCGCTCAGCATGAAGAAGGACGGCATCCAGACGCGGAAGCGGAAGCCCAAGAGCATGGGCGGCCACGGCGGACACGGCGGCCACGGCGGCGTGGCGCGGGCGGGCGGCGGCGGGCTCGCCGGTACGTGGTGTTCTGTGTGAGTGTGTCGTTACCGGCCGCGTCTTATAACCTCGTGTGATGGTCCGCAGTGGAGGCACACTCGCACAAGGTGCTGCCTCCGCTGTTCGCGGCGGTGGAGGCGGCCGCGGGCGCGGGCGGCGCGGGGGGCGCGGGGGGCCCGCCGCTGCTGCTGCTGCCCGCTGGGCGCCATCAAGCCGATATGTGAGTACACCCGCGACATCCACCTCCGCAGTCGCTTGCCACTCTCCGGCCGGGACACTTCTATACGCATAGAATTGTACTAGCGCCGGAGGTCAGACTTTAAATTCGGGCAGTGATTTCTGGAGGCATGCATGCTGCATTTAATTTTCTCCTTTCTCGCACGCTTCCCTTGTTATTTCTGCACCGCTCTGTCGATAATCAATTATAGAGTCCTATTTACACATTAGAGAACGTAGTATTGCTTCGTGTACCGCATATCGGCTTCATGCAAACCTGTCACTTCTTGGTGTTCTATGCTTTGTAGTTTTTATTATTTTTAACTCGTCGACGTGTTTGTAACCTAATTAAGGCCGTGTACGGTAAACATGCCAGTTTCTCTGTATAAACTTAGTAACTTTTCGCGTTTGTAAAGTTTGCTCGTGTCTTACGTTATCTCAAGGTTGCGTCGTGGCGGCGCGGCGTCGCTCATCTTGCCATTAGTTACATTTTGCAGTCGCGTTGTGTGAACGATATGTACAACTTGGAGAGCATACGTACTACTTACGTAGATAATAATAATATTCTCAGGACAATTCACACAGCGCCGTCTAGACCCAAGTTAAGCTTGTGTTATGGTACTAGACAACTGATACAAATACATAGATTTTACGTAAATACATACATAATATACATAGAAAACACCCATACCGATGCAATTATACATATAAAATATAAATATTTGTGCCGTGCGAGGAATCGAACCCGCGACCATTGGAAGTAAGACGATATGTTAAACCGCTATACCACCGAGGCCGTCAGATAGAGTTTAGATGTGTAATTAATGTTTTATGTTAAACACGTTGTTCATTAAAGTTATATGTATAGTATCTGTCTGTGATGTAAATGCATGGTATAAAATATACTTACCACATTGATCTTAGACATTATACATTTGATAATCTTATATATAAAATTCTCGTGTCACAATGTTAGTTACCATACTCCTCTGAAACGGCATGATCGATTTTTATGAAATTTTATATGCATATTCAGTAGGTCTGAGAATCGGCTATCTATTTTTCATATCTTTAAGTGATAAGGGTTGTCCACCCCTAACATTATTTTTTGGGCTAAAATTTTTTATTTAATTTTTTTATTATGTGTCATTAAAAAATACATACAACGCTAAATTCTCAACTTCTATCACCGACCCCTATTTTTTATAGCGTCGAGACATACATTATGTAATTAGCTGACAGTAATAGTTTAAACGAAAAAAAATTACAATTTTAATTTCTAACTCATTCCAACTCATGCCACGTCCCCCTCCGATCGATCCCCCGTCCAATTCAAACGGGGATCGATGTTACGACGGCCTGAGCCGAGGTTTGAACCTCTAGCGGTGCCCTCTGACTGTCGTCGTATCCGTCAGGCTGGAGTTGACCTTCAGCCGCTCCATAAGTCCTTCCTTGGTTTGGAGTGCCATCTGCACTCGCCCCCTATCGTCCGGTGAAGCTGTAAAGGCCAGCTGCGGCCAACAGCATTAGAGTAGTCCGAAAAAAAAGCCACATCCTTTACAGAATAGACAAGAAACTCTTCACAAATAATATCACTACTAGCAGACCCGGCCATGCGTTGCTGTAGCTAAGTTTCTTGAATAAAATAATATTGCGACTATAAATTGAGATGTAAATTATCCTATCCTTCAAGTTGAATCAAATTGCACACAATGTACAAATCAAATTTGCAATCGGTTCAGTAGTTTAGGAGTACATCGCGGTCAAACAACGTGACACGTAATTTTTATAAATATATATATCTAAATAACTCTATAACTGTATAACTCAAAGGTGACTGACTGACATAGTGATCTATCAACGCACAGCCGAAACCACTGGACGGATCGGTCTGAAATTTGACATGCAGGTAGATGTTATGACGTAGGCATCCGCTAAGAAAGGATTTTGATTAATTCTACCCCCAAGGGGATAAAATAGGGGGTGAAAGTTTGTATGAAACTTTGTCAATTTTAAACCGAACTTTGCATGCATAAAGTTACTATGACGTAGGCATCCCCTAAGAAAGGATTTTGAACTGAATGATTTGACTGATTGAACTGTAATTAAAGATTACTATGATGAAGACGTTTGCTTAAATAGGATTTTGATAAATTCAACCCCCATGGGGATAAAATAAGGGATGATGGAGGATGTAAATGTATTCGTTTGAACCTATCAGTACCTAATGGAATGAATAAATTAAGAACAAAATAATTTTTAGAAATAGAAATAATCTTTATTCAAATAAACTTATTACAAGCACTTTTGTACAGTCATATTTTGATTCTACCACTCATTCGGAATGCAGATTCATCACAAGAAGAATGAGCAAGAAACTTGTGTGTTGCTCTTTTTAATAGATATTTTTATATAAATAATTACTGTAATTATATTCAAGTAAGAGGCATGCGATAATTAACATAGAAATCGCTACGCACTCATTATTAGTGTAATCAGATAATATTGTCAGTGCTATGGATTTAAAGTTTTTCTATAAAGTAGTTAGTTCTTTATGCTACTTTTATTTTAGAAAAATAAAGTTAAAGATTTACAATCCAATTTAATCCAATCCAATTTAAGATAAAGATTTGCATCCTGCATCATCCCTGTATACTTTGATATTGTTTGTAATTGAGTTACATTTATGTTTCACATCACGTTATTTGTATAATGAATTTAAATATATATATAATATATATTTTAATAAATTTACATTAAAAACTAAATCCCTGTATGATTTCCGTAAGCATTTACCCTTATAGGCAGAAAAAAGTCTGGCAACTCTAGTTGTAACAGTTAGATAAATCTGCTTGCAGGGTACCAACGTTAGAGAGGTCGTCGGGGGCGGCGCCGCTCCACTACCGCCCGCCGTAACTGAAGAACTCTTGGAATCCTGCCTCTGGTTGTGTACATATCAGTTAAGGAAAGAATAGAAAGTAACAGGCCCCACACCGGACTACGTCCTGCGACATCATTTAAATTTAATCTATACATATAAATAAAATTGGAGTGTCTGTTTGTAATATTGAAGTAACCGTTTTTTACTACATGCATATGAATATAAATACAAAAATTGTAAAAATGTTATTTTGATGTAGAACCATAAATCAAAATAATATTTTTAAAATGTTTGTCTGTCTGTCTGTCTGTTTGTTCCGGACAATCTTTGAAATGGCTGGACCGATTCAGACGGGACTTTTTTTGGCAGGTAGCTGTCATAATATGGAGTAACTTAGGCTACTTTTATTTTAGAAAAAAAAAACTCTAATTTACTTTTTTGTTACATTCCACGCGGACGAAATCGCGGGTACAGCTAGTCTCTAATATAAACTAATAACTTCTGAAACATAGGTATATTCTAAACCTATCAGATATCAGGGACTTCAGAAATTATGTACAAAATATGTGAAATAAAACAAATTAAAATAAACCAGTAAACGAATTATTAATAGTGCCAGAATGACTATAAAAAGGTTTCGTATTCCTTTAAAATGCCACTGAAATTGAAATTACGAATTTGGCGTATATCTGGATCATTGAAACGTTTTTTTTTATTTTACTTTTATATTTATCAGTAAGTTCATAACTAAATAAATACATTAATGAGTAATGACTTTCCAATTGAAGTCATCTAAATATATACAACTCAAAGGTGACTGACATAGTGATCTATCAACGCACAGCCCAAACCACTGGACGGATCGGGCTGAAATTTGGCATGTAGTTAGGTGTTGTGATGTAGGCATCAGCTAAGAAAGATAAAATCCTTTCTTAGCGGATGCCTACGTCACACCACCTACCTACAATAAACACACAAACAAAAAAACACCTTCCTAAAATAAAATAGGGGATGAAAGTTTGTATGAAACTTTGTCAATTTTAAACCGATCGGGCTGAGACTTTGCATGCATAAAGCTGCTATGACGTAGGTATTCTCTAAGAAAGAATTTTGATAAATTCTGTCTCTAAGGGAATAAATTAACGCGTCGAAGCCGCGGGCAAAAGCTAGTTACTCATAAATGTATTTTATTATACAATAGTTTCTTATCAACGAGTATATCAATGATCGAGATTTACTTCCAAATTCATTAATTTTAATTTTATTTCACGGTTATTTTAAAAGTAATTTCTAGTTAGATGTCTTTTGATTGGTTTAGTAACAATATATCTTCACGCCAGTCCCTTGCAGGATCGGCAGATAACTATTAAGTACCTGTTAAAAGCTATTACGACGCTATAAACGGTTATCATGTTTTATAAAGTGAGTGTATACTGTATTGAGAGTTTAAATATTTTTGGCATATTTATTCAATTTTAATAATATAAGATTTTACCAAATTTATATAAGTACAGTTAGAGTTATCTACAAGAATAAACATACAGCGTATGAAATACAAAATAAACATAATTCGACACTCGAACTTTGCGGAAAAACTTGGTTTATATCTCTAAAATGTATTTATATGTTGGTAAGATTTATCTGACTTTGTACATAAATGTTTTCATATTATAGAGTTTGTGAAATATCGTGAGAGAAGTGAAAATAACTGTTAAAATATATACTTAATAAAATTTACAATAACTATGTTGTGTATCTTCAAAACCATGGTGATGACTTGTTATGAAGTACATGGATAACTCGATTTTTCTGTAGCTAATGTTCAGGATTGAACTTACAGTTATCTTTGACCTGTTACCTGTATAATGTCCTAAAAATATTTTTTAATATTTTCGTAAAAATTATAATTCCGAAGATCTCTGCAGCTGATAACAACAGTCCTAATAAGTAAAGCCAAATTATTTATACCAAATCAAGCTGTAAACAGCTGTTATTTTTATTTATAAGTTATGTATAGTAGCGTTGGATAATTTCACTAGTTGCTATCCATCTTGACCGATATACGAGCTTATATCTCCATATAAACAAGGTGTCTAATTATGTTCAATCATAGAGATATTGTTATCTATTATATATCTGTTATAAATACGTATATTTTAGGTTGCCTTAGTGAAGGCGTGAGTACAAGGTAATACTCTTTTTTTTTTTCAGGACAATTCACACAGCGCCATCTAGTCCCAAGTTAAGCTAGCTAAAGCTTGTGTTATGGGTACTAGATAACTGATACAAATACATAGATATATTTTTTTTTCGTAAATACATACATATTATACATAGAAAGTACCCAGACCGATACAAACAACCATACTCGTGAATACAAATGTTTGTGCCGTGCGAGGAATCGAACCCGCGACCATTGGATATAAAGCGGTGTGCTGGACCGCTATACCACCAAGGTCGTCAAATACTCTGGTAGTAAACCAGACTCCTAGCGTCCCAAAGCCACGATCCTTCTTCAACACAATGTCGGGTTACTAATGCAGCCAAATACATGTAGGAAAAAGCCTTTCAAATACATGTAGCAGCTTCAAAATAACATTGTGTATATGTACTTTAAAAAAGGATTATAGAGAAAAAAATATAAAAATTGTGTTCATGTTTTATCGAATCTGGTGTTATATTGCAGAAACCCATTTCATTGGATTTGTATTATTTTATTTAATTCAACTACCATTAGCATGTGTGAGACCACAAATATTCAGTGCGGAAACTTGACCATCTCTCCTGTAAGCGTTACGACTTTCTCTATTGGTGATCACATAAATGCACAACGCAAAATGTCTGTAGAGTCAGTACTGACTCTACTTACTCCATTTTGCGACGTGTTTTTATTAGGCACATTGATTTAAGAAGGAAAAGTATAATCCATCACATTTAAAATAAGTATTGTTGCTAAGTAAGTTTGTATGCAACGTGCAACTGCGATCGGAACGAAAGTAAATTATATTTACTGCTATATATGTTATCCACTCAATATCTCTACCAGTTTTGCCTCTGAATGAGGCATCATCTATACATATAAGTCTGTTTGTATAAAAATCTTATAGATACAGACTTATATGTATAAATCTTCTATAAAAAAATAACATCTTGTATAATTTTTATCTCTCTGTCTGTTTGTCGGCTAATCTCTGAAATGGCTGGACCGATTTTGACGGGCTTTCTTTTAGCAGGTAGCTGATGTAATAAGGAGTAACTTAGGCTACTTTTATTTTAGAAAATGAAGTTAAATTCCACGCGGATGAAGTCGCGGGAACAGCTAGCCAGATATATAATAGAGTTCGGATATATCTTGGAAGCCTAGTGTTGACTGTTTGCCACTCGCTGTTTGATCATATTATATATTAGTGGTGACATCCATGCTAATGCTAGTGGAATTAAACAAAATAAATAAATATGTTAAGTAAAAAAATCTATAAGATCTAAAGATTTTCTGGTAAACATAGTTTTTTATGACAATCTCTTGATGTTTGCCGTGGGAATAATAATTAATATTATTGTATAGTGTGGAATACACAGTCAACATATACGCTTTTATATATATATATATATATATATATATATATATATATATTTGATGATTTATCTCGGAAGTTGGTTAGCAATATGTGAAAGAGTCTTTAACTATTATAAGTACTGTTTTTACGAATTTAATAATTTATTTAACGAGATTCTGTTTGTGTATAGCGATGAGTATCACCCACAGATATCAGGATACTGCACTGCGTGTTGCGTGCATGTCAATATGTATAAATAAAGTTGAGGTATCTGTTTGTAATATCGAATTAAACATTGTCCACTAAATTCATATAAAAGTACATATTTTTATATATATTTAGTGAAAAGCTGTAATTTATAATGTGTTAAAATAAAATTATTCCAAAAATTTATTTCAACATTTTTTGTCAGTAACTTTGTTCTTACTAATCTCTGAAACGGATGAACTAATTTTGACTGGACTTTCACTCGCAGGTAGCTAATATTTTAGGAGTAATTTAGACTAATAATATTTTAGAAATTGTATTTATTTTATAAAAATAAAAGATTCCATTCGGAGTCATAGTCGAAGGTAATAGTTGTCCATATCATTACATAGTATAAAATAAAGTCGCTGTCGCTGTCTGTCCCTATGTATGCTTAAATCTTTAAAACTACGCAACGGATTACGAAGCGGTTTTTTTTAATAGATAGAGTGATTCAAGAGGAAGGTTTATATATATAATAGGTACATGTACACCCGTGCTAAACCGGAGCGAGTAGTAATACATAAAGTGGTATTTGTTTGTAACTAAATAACAATTTGGAGTTCCTACTTGATAATATAAAATGTTAGGATTGTTAATAAAATATAGTAACATTAATATTTTACTGCACACAAATATTTGCTACCGGTAAATAACTTTTCTGCCATCAAAGCTAATAAGAGTGATATAGTAGCTACTACGATTTATCTATACATACATATAAAGAAAATTGGAGTCTCTGTTTGTAATATTGAAATAACCGTTTTTTACTACATGCATATGAATATAAACACGGTACATACACCAAAAAGACATTTTTTACAATTTTTATCTGTCCATCTGTTTGTTCCGACTAATCTCTGAAACGGCTGGACCAATTTTGACGGGACTTTTATTGGCAGGTAGCTGATGTAATAAGGAGTAACTTAGGCTACTTTTATTTTAGAAAAATAAACTTAAATTCCAAGTCCCGGACTTTGTTTGCGACTATAGCTACTACAGCTAGTATATATATATATATATATATATAGAAATTGTTGCTGTCTCTGTGTCTGTGGTGTGTCTTTTTATCAGCTTTGTACATGCAGTGTGTGTAGATTTATATAAACATGTACTTACATGTAAATGTATAGTCGATTAAGTATAAATTAGATAAGTTTACAAAGAACCAGAATATAATTATTTGTAATAAAATTTAATAATTACATACTTATGGCGTTTGTAATAATTCCCTTCCTTCCCTCATAACACACGGGGTGGGTTTTCCTAATTCGTAGATAACTGTGGCCTATGGAATAATTTTTATTTACAACTTTATATAGAAATACATAGAATATACTATAAAATTGATTTGAATTCGTTAACGATAATACTGTTTTTATAGAAAAACTTTAAATCCATAGCACTGACAATATTATCTAATTACACTAATAATGAGTGCGTAGCGATTTCTATGTTGATTATCGCATGCCTCTTACTTGTTATACTGTAATTATTTATATAAAAAAAAACATCTATTAAAAAGAGCAACACACAAGTTTCTTGCT